GGCAAACGCCTTTGAACTCCCTTCGTTATGGGAATTACAGGCAAACACCTTTGAACACCTTATTGGTACGCAGTCATGAAGAAATGCATCGGTGTACAGAGGAACATTTCAAAAGAGGTCGTCTACATAATTGTAGGCGACTACCTACTTGTTCCAAGTAGTACGGTAGAAGAGAGGAAGACGGCACGACACCGACTGATTGAGGCCACATCCACCAATCAGGTCTCACCCCATTTTCCGCGCGTTTAAAATGTTAGTGGTTCATTGCACTTTGAGTCCGAAAACGGGCTGGGGCACCAGACTCGAAAATTCACCAATTGAAGTTACGTTTTGTCCCAAGGAACAACTTCTTCAATTTTCTTGGGATGCTTGTTATTCAATTTATACAACTGCATTTGTTGTGATCTCAGTTAACACGATCCAGCAGGTGCAACTGAGCAAAAAAAGAGCAGACAGTGAAAAAATAAACTCCTAAGGCATGGCTCAGAATTCAAGGAAATTGAATACCATTTGTGGGATTTTTGGGAGAAAAGCAGTCGCTCCTGGGAGAAACGTATGTGCAGTATAGGATCAGCGTGCTGCTGTGATTGTTTGCGGCAAGCCAGGGGGAGCCTATCGCGTTTGATGTCTTTATCCGTCCATTGGAAACGGAGTTTACTTCCTCTTTGTTTATTTTACCTATACCCACGAGGTCACCAGCGCACAACGCTGACATTTCTCCACGATGTCGACAAGTGCCGTTTGTGAGCCTTATTTTACTCCTGATAAATGGAAGACGTTTTTGTTGAAAATGATATTGAATGATATTTTCTAAATAAAGCTTTTCTCTCACTCTCTCCGCTCCGATAGCTGGCATTCCTGATTTCACGCACGGAAGTTCGCCTACTTCTCATCGAAAAAAAAATCTCGCCACTGCTTTCTCTCGTATGGTTCACAATGAGTCCAAGCCTACAGTGCAGCTGAAGTCCCTGAAGTACTTCGATGCGGATCGCATTGATTTGCCCCCGATGAATCCTAGCAAGTCTGCGGTTCCAGCAACCCCTTCCAAGCCTGTTGTTCTTTTGGAGACAACTTCATTTGGAGGATTGAACACCCCTAGCGATGCACGGCCGAAACCTAGGTAATGCTATTTCTTGTCTTTAAAGTCTAGTTTTTTTTGGGGGGATGAGTTTTCTCCGTTCTACTTAGTCGGCTAACTGCTTGATTTTAGGGAGGAAACGATGACCAGTGATGACGCTCCCCGGTTACCTGGTATCGAGGAGATCAAGTCGGATACACCTCCGAATGATCAAGTGAAGTCCTCTGTTGCTTTTGAATTTCGCGGAACTGCCAAGCCTGAGACGGAGCTGGCAACACAGTCTCCAACGGCTGCCGCCTCTTCACGCAGGGAGTCCTCCAACGAGGACGACAGTACTACACCCTCGCGACCTTCTCATGACGCCGTGGGCCACTTTCATATCTCCACCCTGACGACCAGTTTGAATGAAATGAAGATCCGTCCTCCGTCTGCTAATTATAAATCGCGGTCTGCAGGATGTGAGCCCTCGAAACTAGGTAAGCATCTCTCTAATGCTTCTTCATTACTGACTCAAAGCAATTTCACAGGGTATTTTGTATGATGCATTTTCTTTGGCTTCTCTTTCCCGCTCTTAATTCGCAACGTCTGGTTAAGTAACCAGGTTTGTGATTACCTTTTGTGCAGTAGTCCTCTGTTTTTTTTTGGTTCCTTCACCAGCCCTTGTTCGAATTCATAGAAGTGGAGTAGAGGAGGAGGGACGGGAAACAGGAGTACTGGGTATGCGGAAACACACATCCCCAGATACCCTCACCTGGTTGTTCGGTTAGTAGCCCTTGTTGGATCAGGGGTGCCCGCCAAAGTCCAAACTGGGTGCAGCTGGGAGACGGAAAAACGCCCCGACCTCAGCCGGCTTGAGCCAAAGGTCCACGGATGTGAGTTGGGTGCCTGGCCGGGAACTGCAGGAGAAGAAATGCTGACAGTCATGCGGCGAGACGCC